GCACGCCCTGAGAGACGGGCAATCCGGTAGCTCGAGCGGGATGGAATTTCCTTTGCATTCCGCTGTTGAGCACTCGCCGAGTATGCGCCACTGGTTGTAACTCTGATTCATCGGAGCTGTTGACTTCGTCCTTTGCTCGATCGATCTATGGGGCTCTATCGGAGCCTTCTTGTGGAAGGCTTGGAAACACAATGTTGGCCTTCTGCTTTGATCACGCCTATTCAGCGTCGAACGTTATCTTCCAAATGTCGGTTAAGCAACTCGTCATCAGTGCGGCATCTGCTGCCGTTATGTTATCGAGTTTGATTCCTTGCAACGCAGTCAGGGCCGCTGTCCAACCCGCCTCCGCTGGGGAGTTCAGCGTAAGGAAATATGTGGTCACATTAAGATGGTCATCTGGAGGGCAAACCCCTCTCAAGGACCAAGGGCGCTCATAAGCTGCTTGCCTTTCAGGATTATCCTCCTACGAGATATGCAACCTTTGACGAAAGGAAAAATGCTCTCCATTGCGGTTATGATAATCGCGAGAAGAACAGTGATGACTCGGCAGCATTGGACTTCTACATCGTTGGCAACGGCGTGCAAACTGGGGCGATTACTTGTCCCAAGGCAGAAAAGTATCCGGCGTTCCGGACATCGTAGGACAGTTGTGAAAGTCGACACCGATGTTGACGTTTGCAGTTCAGATATCTAGGCTCGCCTACTCTCAAGATGTACAACCCCCACATTGTAGGGAGCGGCGCATATTTCTCCCTAGCTCAGCCGACTACCGAGGTCACTTATCTGGATCCTCTAAGGAACATTCAGCTATCCCCTCCCAGTCCTCGTGCGGAGGGTGAATCGCCAGCAATGAATAGGCAGAGACAATGCCTCAACGCGATTCAGACCATCAAAGATGGATTCGGTGGAAGCTTCAGAGCTCTGTGCGATAAGCATCATGATGTCTCCGTAACGGCTATCAAGACTACACGAGCCGCTGAGTTGAATGTCACAGTTTGAAGTTGGAGGAGACATTTGTATTTCCCAGCCACACTCTATTGAGGCGCCGACTCGCGAATAATGAATAACAACTTTATCAACCTCTCCTCATTTTACCTCGTTGTCGATTCACAATGCCAACATGCTATGCGTAGTATGTTTTATGAGGATCGTTGCTGCTGTTGCTGTGATGTGGAGATTTGCATTGTGATAAGGCCGCTCTTGTGTTTGTTCGAGTGTTGAATTTTGTTATTCCTGCTTAGAGACCACAGTTGATCAGGGAGAGATTCACGATCGGCATCCCTTTCATTATGGGATTAATTGCCTGCGCCATGCGGGTTGCCACCGAGGACTTTACCAATGTCGTTCAGTTTCGTCAGTGGTCGGACACTGAGAACCATGAGTTCTCTACCGTTATACAGGCTACAGGCTGTAGCCTACAGCGATGGACTTGGAAGGGTCACCCTTCAAGGGCGTCCTGCCCAGCGAGCTATGGCTAAAACGATCAACAGTATGGCCGAGGTAGCCCGTTACATGGCTAAGTCCAACGAATGGATGGCTTAGGAGGTTACCAAGTCGGTGGCTGCGGTTTCACGCCCGGCTCCTACTACTACAGCCAGACGTCTATTGTCTCAGACAATTTGTCTGAGATTGTGTGTTGCAACTGCAACAAGAAGGGTCATATAGCCTCCAAGTACCCATCTAGGGACAAGGGACCGTGGTCTCAGACCACGGCTTGACGGGGCTCTGGGACGGGTTCAGAAGTCACCCGTCTCTGGCAGGCTGACGAAGCCTTCTTGCTTCAATTAGCCACTGAGTCTGACCCCGATGAGGTTACGGACAATTCTGTTGTGGTAGAGACCCCTTGTAACAAGAGTTATGATGATAGTAGTGCTATTTTTTCTATTGGTAGGACGGCCCTTCTTAGAGGGGGACCGTCGCAAGCCGACGGTCGCGCGGATACCCGGGAGAGATATCCTGTTCTTTGTTGCGCTCCACCAACGTCGACGAGTTCCCCGGCGATATGGATTAGAGTTTCTTTCTAGAGGTTCCGGTATCGAGATCGACCACTATAAACTATGTGAGGCCGAAGGAGGATCTTCCTTCTCTGGATACAGAACCGCCTTCTGTCAAGGACCCCTCGGTTCCTACTCCCCATCTACCAATGCGAGGAGCGATGGTGTGGCGCTCATTATTCCGCGTCCCGTTGATAAACTATGAGGAACCCACCCCGGGCTGGTTAGTGATGGTACAGATGACTCGTGGAGGATAAATCATGAAGACAAGTAGAAGTCTTCCCACGCTCCACGAACTTGACCGCCAACGCAAGTTGCGTTACGCAACCAGTAGAGCAGATTGCAGAGTGACGACACTCGAGATTATATTAGGTAGTTTGATAGCCACTTGGTTAACCTATGAAGGTCAATTAAATTGACTCGGTTTATTGGGCTAGGTCAACAAACGAGTTCGTGATTTGGTTGGTGGGATGTTCGATCGATTAGCGTTCAGTTATCATTTAGTTAATGGGGACTTCTCTGAACTCACCTGCCAGTTGAAGTTAGTTTGGGAGGCACGAGTACTACTCGTCGAGCGAGAGTCAACAGCCAGGGTCTCTGGCCCAGTGAGCACCGAGTTGACTCTCTGAGTGTTGTGTACTTATGAATTCAGGATTACCAAAAGAGGTAGATAAAAGTATTAAGTTAGTACTATTGATTACAGCGGAAAGAATAAAGAGACGAATTGTGTGAGCTGCGGTGGAAAGGAAGGAGACAATAATTGTGTGGATACACCACAGTTTCCTTTTCTTATTTTGAAGGGCTCGTAGTCTGCCTGGAATTCACCATCCAGTATTACTGGACCAGTAACCCCCACGCCACGATAAGGCACTGCGACCAGTGGGGGGAAATCCATTCAAAAGTCGCAAAGTTTGTGAAGGACTATACGAATCTTGCGCACTCCCCGGATTGTGCTTTTCTGGCTCATGCTTTTGCACGCGAACCTGTAATACAGTCTCTGAGGCATCGAGAGTAGCTTGGCCTTGTTCGCGGTCATTATGATGCTCATTTAGTCTAGGAGAGTGCCCCGACTCCCAGTAGTTAGTTTCATTGATAGTATGCTACCATACCTTATGCGCACAAGAGGAATAGTCGTGCAGCTTTTCATGTCTGCATCACGGTTTTGCTAAATTTCCCTTGGGCATCGTCCTAAGAGGCCATGGGTTATGCTCCATCGGGTTAGCGCCTTCGATTGACCCGCATGATTCGAAGCCTCATCGGTCTCAACGACGGTCGTTGAACGGTCGTCGTTCGGAGATAACGCATTCAGCAGGGCGCACCAAAGGGCCTGCAATGTCCCTCCGTTGCATGTCGTAGCTCGAAGACCATCGTCGCACGCCCTGGGGGGGGCGACCCGTTAAACTCGCACGGAACGGAATTCCTTTACATTCCAGTGCTCTATCGTGGAATGATTCCACGATAGAGCACTTGTCGAACTGTGCGTTACAGGCTGTAACTCTTGCCCGGCAAGACTTGCCGAGGACTTTGTTGAATCTGGCAGAGCATCACGGATGAAGGCTTGGAGAAACAATAGTGGGCTTCTGCCTATTCAGTACCGAACGTTATCTTCCAAATGTCCGCTAAGCAACTGATCATTGGTGTGACATCTGCTGCCGTTATGCTTTCGAGTCTGATGCCCTGTAGTGCACTGAGGGCAGCTGTCCAGCCCGTTGAAACATCCATCGTAAGAAAATCTGTGGTCACAATGAGATGGTCGCCATCTGATGGTGAACCTCTCTTCCTCCCTCTCTCAAGGTCTGTGGACGCTCATCAGCTTCTTGCCTTTCAGAGTATCCTTCGATGATAGACGCAAAGTACGACCAACAAGATCGTGCTTACCATTGCCGCTACGATAATAACAAGAAGAAGGAAGATGACTCGGCAGCATTAGACTTCTACATCGTCGGCGACGTCATCCAAACAGGGACGATCAATTGTCCCAAGACAGACCAGTATCCGGCATTCGAAACATCGTAGGATACTTATTAGTTGACGAGGCCAATACCGTTGTTGACGTCTGCAATTCAGATACTTAAGGTCGCTTACTCCCAAGGGGTATAGTCCTGACATTGTAAACAGCTTGAAGTATCACAACATCCCTGAACTGAGTTCCGATGATACTTGTATGGATCCTCTAAGAAGCGTTCAATTTCGCCCTATCAGTCAGATTAAATGTGGTTTCCCTTGTAGAAGAGGAAATTATTTTAAAGATCAATGCAATCACGCGATTTGGACATTCAAGAATAAATTCGGTGCGAGCTTCACAGCTCTGTGCGATGAGTATCATAATGTCTCTGAAACGGCTATCAAACAGCTGGACGAAACAGTGAGTTGACTGTGGCGTTGTGAAGTTGGATGGGGTAGTTGTATTCCCCATGCTCGGCCGAATTCTTGGAAGCTACTGAGGACCGAATAATGAATTACAACTTTATCAACTTCTCATTTTACTTCGTTTTCGATTTACAAGATTATGTGCCGACATGCTATGCGTTTATAACGATCATTGTTGTTGCTGTTGCTGTGATGTGGAGATTTGCATTGTGATAAGGCCGCTCTTGTGTTTGTTCGAGTGTTGAATTTTGTCATTCCTGCTTAGAGGCCACAGTTGATCAGGCCCTGATCATCAGGGGGAGATTCACGATCGGCATCCCTTTCATTGTGGGAATAATGGCCGGGGTCTAGATGAAGACAAATAGAAGTCTTCCCACGCTTCACAAACTCGACCGCCAACGCAACCAGTAGGTTGCAGAATGATGACACTAGTCTCTGGAGAGCACTGAGTTGACTCCCTGAGGCAGATTAGAGAATTCCCTAACCTCACTGCTACTAATGCGGAGCGTAGCATTCAACGTCGCGCTTTTCGGAGAGTTTCTTAACAAAACTCTGAGGTTGAATCTTTCGGATATCACAAGTTCTGTAGCGACGCCTCACGCTTTCCCACCACTTCCCACGACTACCAACTAAAATACTCAATGATATTGGACAAGAAACATTCTACAGTAATATGGTAGAGTGGTTAGGCCAAACTAGTGAGCGAGCATCTCAAGCAAACTATATGCAATACATCAACAAGTTGATCGATTGCGTGACCTTTGGACACATCAACTTTGGACATAAAGTTGTCGAAAGCCCTTTGGACAGCGAGGGTTGTCAAAACGAATCTCAAGACTAAGTTTTGGACAGTTTGTCGAAAAACTACCCTAGTGAGTAGTTTGGACATGAAGTTGTCGAATATTTTTTTTTCATCAAGAAGTTGTCCAATTACGCCTGTAGCGACCTCTGGACAGCTTTTTGATCAATTGGACATGTTTGGACAACATTTAGTAATCTGGACTACAATGTGTCGGAATGTGGCACCGATTACCTTTGGACATCTGTCTCGAATGCGCTCGCCCATAAATGTTTCAAATTTTTCTGACATTACGTAATTCCTGATAGCTCCTTAATAGTATTAGCTTTCGATGAGGCTATTAGTCTATTAGTCCGTGTTGTTTTTGCATTATGGCTGAAACTGCAGTAAGATTACTGTACCGGCATAGTGCCGGCGGCATTTCCTACCATGTGAGAGCGTGGATGAAGTCTATTGTGCTATTTGTCTTTTACCTGGCGATGATCTAGATGCAGTCCGTGGGGCTATGATTCAATGTGATGGGTGTCGAAAATGGTATCACTGTTTATGTAGTGGTGTGACACCACTGGTGTCCAAAACGGCGCTGCCACTAGCGATGATCCTTGGTATTGTCTGTCATGTAGAGCCCGCAAGCAGTGTGATGGCTAAGCACCCTTTTTCCCGAAGGGCGTTGTAGAAGCGGCCGAGGGCAGGGTTCTGCATTATCATCCACTCGAGAAGGCACGGTCTCCACTAATGTTTCGTTGTGATAAACTCAACACATTATCGGTATAAGTTGAGTACTGATTGACTACCGCTGTGATGGGCGTGAGAAACACTTTAATAGTGTTATCACAAATGGTTCCATGCCATAGTTCTAGCTAGCTACCATCCTTCTACAGCTAATAATCAACTTAATGAAATAAGATCACATGCAGTAATTATTACCGAGTAATATGATATTACTAATGTCATGAGCAATATGCCTGCGTGCCATGGCAAACCATGCAGCATAAGTCAGGCTACATGAGATACAGTAATACTGTAACAGTATGACCATACAGTCTTCATTCCATAGGACTTGTTTGCTTCAAATCTTCAGAGGACTTGCATATCTTCTCTCTCCTCTCCTTCATAGCCATCCATTCATTAGCGACGTCAACCAAACCAGCGCGATCAGGTGAGATTAGTTCCATTAAGAGATCGCGATTAGCACAGAGTATGATATCACTCTGCAAGTGCTCGTTATCAAGGCGGTTTCGAGTCGAAACTTTCGACTTTTAGACAGCTCACGAGTCAATACGGAGAAGCTGCGCTCGGCGCCACAGCTAGTAGGCGCTCGAATCAGGCCAGATACTACCCGATAGATCAAATCCTCATCCCCGGACTGAGCCGCCAACTCCGCAAGATCCTTTACTTCAAGCGAATCTCCTCTAGATCTCAAATTGCGGCATTTGATAACATATTCTTGCACAGCATCTGTGCTGTCGGCACCAACCTGCATCCCTTTAGCAGACGTAACGGCTATGGGATATGATAACAGAGCCTGTTCGGCATACCCTTGTCTCTCGGACTTCGGAATCCTCTCCGCTAGCTTCCTTAATACGTTCAGCGCGA